TCTTAAAACAATGCGCCACTCAGCCAGCCTTTCGGACCATTTTTAACCAGGTTGTTTGTCTTCTTATTGTTGAGTTTTAAGAGTTCTTTGTATATTTTAAATAACAGTCCTTTTTCAGCTGTGTCTTTTGCAAATACTTTCTCACAGTCCGTGGTTTGTCTTTTCATTCTCTTGACACTGTCTTTCATAAAGCAGAAGTATTTAATTTTAATGAAATCCAGCTTATCAATTTTTTCTTTCATGGATCATGCTTTTGGTACTGTACGTAAAAAGTCATCACCAAACACAAGGTCATCTAGATTTTCTCCAATGTTATCTTGTAGAAGTTTGATAGTTTTGCATTTTACATTTAGGTCTGTGGTCCACTTTTAGCTATTTTTTTTTGTGAAGTCCTAAGGCCTGTGTCTAGATTTATTGTTCACGTGTGAATGGCCAGTTGTCCCAGCACCATTTGTTAGAAGGACTATCTTTGCTTCATTGTATTTTCTTTGCTTTGATACTCTTTTTGAAAACCCTTAAAATCCCACCACCCAGAAAATGCAACCCTCCAGACTGGGTTAAGTGCCCTGCCTTACGCTTCCATTAATACCTATATCATAGCACCCTTGAATCATTTTATGTACCAGTCTAGTGTTTGTCTTATTTACTTCTCTATTCCCAGATCCTATCATAGTGGTTGGTATGTAGCAGGTGCTAAATAGGCATTTGCTGTATTAATGTATAATTGATCTGTTCCTGCATAGTTAGAGCTAGTCATATTTCAATTTTTATTCCCAAATGATTTTTATTGGAGGAAACCTTGGCAGTAAAAATAGAAACACAAATCTAGAATGGCACAAAGAACATGGTGAACATTTTGGAGGTTTTCATGGATTTAAATTTAAACAAAATTATAACTGCTTTCCATAACTCCAATCCCTTTCCTCAAACAATACAAAATACTCTACCACTAAACAACAAAGCAGTATCAAAAGCTAAAGACCTCTGATATTAGCAAAATGTCCACCCTTCTTCTTTTTTAAGACAGTAACTATAATCTTAAGTGTTGGAGGTTCAATTCTGTTACGTTCAAAGAGTTACTGAGTACAAGATAATTTTTGTTTATTACTTCACAGTTGAAACAAATTAGCAAAATTAGCATGTATGTGAATTGAGAGATTTCTTTAACTGATATGACAATGAGTAGCCTGGGCAAAATTTCTTCCTATTTTTCATCACCTGAAGATTGACAATAATTATTATCAATTCTTACAATAATAAAGTATTACAAAAACTAGAGCATATTATTATTATGTAAAATTATTATTTATGTTATGAAATAAAAGTGCTACTTTCCTGCATCTTTTGCTTTGCAGTGAATGCAAAATTCAATTTTTATAGTTATATAATTATGGCTAAAAATAATTCAATCATGGAATATCTAAATGAAAAATATACAATAAGATGAATTGTTATAAAAACAGAAGCTGTTTCTCAGAATATACACATTGATGGAAAAAACCAATAATACTAAACTGTATTTAAGTTAATTTTTTAGAAGCATTTCTATACCTATATAAACTAATTTTCAAGGAATATGTTGTAAAATATTCTTTCATGACACCTCCCTTGATAAAGGTAAGTTTTATATACAGTAAGCATTATTTTCTTATCAATTTAATTAAATCTGGTTTCAAATAAAAGAAACAAATAGATTATGCCAAATATTTAGTCACGATTATAATACAGAATACACTATATTATAGAAGAAACTCAAGTTGTAAAGTATGCAGGTCTTTGGCGGATAGAAGCTGTACGTGTCAAAATGATGACAGTTACATCTGTCTTAATGTATCCACTGCCAATAAAGTATTGGAAAATCATAGTGAACAACTGTTTATAATAAAGTGAAAAATACAATAATGGGCTCAAACATAATAACTTCAAGCATCATTTTACCAATGGTATATATAAATTCCTAACCAGATTGTTATACTTCCTATATTTAATATCCCTCACATTTTCAGCTGGATACCAGATAGCATGACATGTTCAGAGAAAACTATTTTACATGAGCCGAGCTCGGCAGAGGGAGTCCACATGGAGTGTGGTTCTGAAACAGATGGGGCGGCAGATGGAGCTGCAGACTGGGTTCACTTGATCTGTGTAAAACAACTTGACTACGCAGGAAGATGTGGCTCGAATCTCTCAAAAACCTTCTATAGCTTATCCCTTTATTTCATACATCCTGCCCCCCCCGCCAAAAAAGAAAAATGTTTGACATTTTAAACTTTGTTCCTTTAAAGTTTCTGTGCCTGTGTGATACATTATTTAATTTAAATATATTTTCTTACACATTTTTGGAACAGATGGTAGAAAAGAGCAGTTGCCCAGTGGAATAAAATGTACAGGTTAGTTGTCTAAAAACTGTAAAATTAATTACCTTCCTTCATTGATGAGTTCAATAAATGCAAGTCCTGCATTCTTCTGAATAGAATTTTGCCATTCCTAAAAGGAGAAACCAAACAAAGTGTCAGAAAAAGGAGCATGCAAATGAAAGTAACATCTGGTTCAGGGTCATGCTGATGCTGTTAATGACTTCCATGTGATGTTATTTCTAAATCTTTTAAAAAAGACTTTTAACAAATATTACTGTATTATTCAGTTTAGATGGTGCTTTTGAATTCCCAGTCAATTTCAGGCTCGATGCTGACTGAGGTAGACAGTGAGATCACAGGTACAGAGGGTTCTCAGCACAAAGCTCCCTTCCAAAAGAGATCAAATGACTAGAGTAATTCAAGGATGCAAAATATTTGGGATAGAAAATTTTCGTCCCTGATATAGAAAATGTTTACTGAGATTGTAAAATGAAAATTGGAAACATAAACAACATATTTAGATTGACTTGGATATGAAATATTTGAGTTATATATGCAGTCAAATGATTGAAAAGTACATAGAATGATGTATTTTAATAATAAATTATTTTGAAATTTGTAAAAAAATACTTAATATTAAAACTATATCCAAATGTAATCTTTTTTTGCTGATTTAGATTAGAATATATTTGTGAATCTGGCAGTTCCACAGTTTCATCATTATGAATATAAGCGATTCTTACACAGTATTTTGAATTAGAAAAGTATATTGCTTATTTTATATTCTTCTTATGACATATTTAGAATATGCTTTAAACAATTTTTGGTTATTGGCCTCTCCTAGTGATTTCAATTTTTTTTTTGTCGTTTTGAATAGCTGGTAAACTGAATTTTTTGGATTAAAAATTATATCCTTTTCAGTAGTTCTGTAAATAAATACTTCCCTAATACATTTTTATAAAAAATTCTTATTCATCACTCAGGTCACCCACCTATAGATTGTTTTCTCTGTTATTTTACTATTAAAGTGCTGGCCACACAGAGGTGGTCAGTTCCCTGCCCATGAATTCAGCTTCACAAAAAGCACAGCCTCTGGGTCAACCCTTCACTCTACTCCTGATCACATTCCCCTTTACAGTTCTGCATACAAGCTGGGAATAAATGTGGTCCTCAAATGTAGCTATTTGGTATGTAAATATTCTCTGCTCTAAGTAAATTTGTGAAGAATTATAGAAGAACACATCACGGATCTACATTTCCCCAGGAGAGAGAATCAAAAACTTGGGAAAAGAGATGTGGTAGCCTGGGGCCAGTAATGATCTTATAAAGGCCTAAATGACTCCATTTTTAGCAAAGCCATTGTGTTTTAGCTACCACAACCTTTAACTAAAATTTATCAAAATGACAAGATTGCTACTGAATTTTACAAAGCTTATTAAAACTTTCAAATCATTTCTGTTAAAAACAATTATAGGGAACGCTGTTTTCCTACATTTTGGCAAAATGATTTACTACCATTCTCATATATTTTGCATATTACTATTATATATTCTATATTTCCTGCAAACCAATATCCCACAAAATGTGCCAATTTATCAGGAATACTTGACATTTATTGTGATATTAGCTTAAAGAAAAACAACGAGAACCATGTCACTCTGAAGAATATATTCTTACAGACAATTTCTTAAACATGATTTTCTTTATGATGCTGTTTGTACACTAAGGCTCTTTGTCAGTATAAACTTCTAATATGAATAGGATTTTTAAGAATATATTTTACAATGTATTTATTCAGGTATTACATATATACCCTAAATTATATTGTGTCGAAAAGATGACAGAGTAAAATGTTTTAAAAACTATTCAGATCAAACAAAAAATATCTGTGAGGGGCCTTCTGCCCATGAGATGCTTACTTGCAATCTTTGATAGAGAAACAATAGAAATAAGTCTGCACTAAACTAAGGATGTTAGAGTTTAAAGGATGAGAAAGCCAATGAAAGTGTATGACTGCAAGACTTCATTCAATAAATTACTGTTTTAGAAGAGTAATCTGTCATTTTGAGCAACAGTAAATAGTAGAAGATAGTCTTTTATGTCTTTTCAGAAGAGTGACAACAGCGACTTAAACTAGTATTTCGAATAGAGTAATGGAAATTAAGAGACATTACAAAGAAGAGATGCCAGGGCTGGATGAGAAATTGGATTTAAGGGTGAAAGTAGAAGAGTTGAGTCAAATAAGGTTATTAACTTTTAAATATGGATGACAGGGAGAATGGTAATATTAGTATTAAGATACTGGAGGGGAACCATTTGGGGAAAAATCATAAGGCTGCCTTAAGTTTATATTCGTTGCGTTTAGACTGAGGATGGCATATCGAAAAGGAAGGCAAAATCTGGAATTATTTACATGGAAATATTGATTAAGGCACAACATTAAGCAAGTGTCCAAAGAGAATAAACAGAAAGAGGATGAAAAAACCTAGGCTGATTCTTGGGAGCCATTCACATTTTTAAGATTAGAAAAAGAAAGAGTTGAAAGGGACAAGAAAAGGCCTACCAAAATATAAGAAGAGAAGCAAAATACTATGGCACTATTCAAAAGAAAATAATCCAGTAGATATGTTGGCTCAGAATAAAAAAAAGATACAAGACCTTTAATCACTGATATCATTTTACTTTTTTAATGATTAAGATGTTAAATTATCTTGTATATGGGCCGGCCGAGTGGCACATTGGTTAAGAACTGGCTTGGGGTCCCAGAGGGCCCTGGTTCGGATCCCACATATGAGGGCCTGTGACACTGCCCTCTACAGCTAAGATGCTGAACCTGGAGCTGGGCTGCCGTGAGTTGCCGGCGACAGCATAGGCTGCAGCCCCTGCTGCAGTGGGTTGCCATGGGCTACCATGTGTAGCCAGCAACCAGCATGAGCTGCCAGCAAGAAACCAGCAACTGATCTGCCTCGCCCAGGAAGAGCGCAATGATGGTGCCAACTGGGGCCAGTGAAGCAACGTCCTCCACAACTAGACTGAAGAACAAAAGGACAGCAACTTGTCTGTTCCCCTTCCCCCAATTCCCCAAAAAATCTTTAAAAAAAATATTATCTTGTATGTGAAATGTAAAATTAAACTATAATAAACAACACAGATCATTAAACATAAAAACAAAACTCAAAAAAAAAAAGTGCCATTCCTGGCTGCAGTAGCTCAAGCTCTCGTGCTAAAGGTGGTGCCCACTTAATGTGGTGGTAAACTGTAGAGGGACAGAGAAACATTGATTATCTGAGAAAAATGGTGACAGGAAAATCTTAAAGAAGTCATTAGAAAATGGGGTGTTGTGGAAATGAATAAAGGAAGATATTTCTTCCGAAAAGAGTAAAAATAATGTACACAAACTTTTTCAAGATCACATATAAAATAGTCCAGATTAGTACACATGAAGAGACCCTGGCTTATTACTGTAAACTTTACTGTAAACTTGTTTCCTAGAAGATTGAAAACTTCTTGGGTCTCATTTGTCTTGATATTTTAGAAGTGAAGAGAAATGTGGTTTTCAATCCTATCATAATTTTAATTTTTAGCACCTGCTATAATGAAGCCACATGTGTTAACAGTCAATAAGTATTATCAATTGGTGATTTATTGGGTAAGCTGCAATTCACATGCAATTCCCCAACTGTTATTATCAGAGGCCACGTGATGAGTAATAAAACCTTTTAAAATGTTCCTGTTAAGGATGCTCATAAGTAACTAAACAAAGTTTCTCTTCTGTAGAAACCAGTCTGACTGGGTTCCTTTGCTGTGAAGACATCAAAGAGCACTGCTCATCACAAAAAGAAAGGTCTATCTGTCTATCTGTCTGTTTGTATGTCTATCTACCTATGAATAGAGAAGGTATTTTCTGTTCTAATCAAAACTCTTACAAGAAACTTAGACTGTATCTATTTTGCTCTTCTGCTACTACCGACTCCTGAATCTTCTGTCCTCAGATATAAGTAAATATCAAATACTTATTGGATATGGGATTTTAAAACAACATAAGTTGAAATACCAATGTTACAACATAAGAGTTGAACGCTAACTTGCTTAATAGCATTTTCCATATGTCTCTACAACCTCAGTTTACTCTGTTTTACGTGTGCATTATATGGTTACATTTAGGTACTGTATCTTTGAGGAAGAGCCATATTTTATTCATCTGTGGTAACTGCAGGGTCAGGAGAAAGAGATGATATGATGTCATAGAGACTATAAGGCAGCAAGACTTTAATTATAGAAGTTTAGTGACTTTGGATGTTAACAGGGCCTGCTGCACAGGAACCGGGCTCCGGTTACATAAGCCCTTTATATAAGCATGACTTGCATTTGTGGAGGGAGCATGCGCAGTCCTGTGTGCTCGCCTCCCCCAAAATCTCTATATAATGGTTGCTATTGCTGATTAAAGACGGTGGTTCCTCCTCATGTCGGCTCTGCGCGTGCCTTTTTTACTCTTGGTATTTCACCGCTGAAAGCTCCCACGCACCCCAGCCCCTCACCCCCATGACATTTGGCATAGTCGGCATGATGACGAGGTGAGAGTGTCCCTTCCACCCTGGTAGAGGAACCGCCCCGGGTAGAAGGGATGTGGCCCGACATCCCTCTTGTATTCGGTTGCGGCATACCTGCTGGGGTGGACTCCACTGGAGGACTGGGGCACCTTGCGCCCCTGGCTGGAAGACGTCCGGAAAGCCCTGGAGGCACTGGGAGCCGAATGTCCTGCTGGCACACCGGGAGGCGGCCAGCTGGGTGGTCTGCATGTTCCTAGCAGTCTTACGACATGCTAGCCATGACACTCAGGATTACGTGAAAGGGGTGCAGCACTTACAGCACCAGGGGGAGGACTTGAAGCAATGCCTGGCGGTGGCTGAACACATGCTCCAACACATTATTCGGAGGTGCCCTCCTGGGCTAGCAGCCCACCGGGGCTGGTACGGCGCGCCCGACTGGTAAAGGGTGGAAGTCAAGGAGCCGCTGGCTCCTCGGGGTGGAGCCACTGGACCCCGGCAGTCCGTGAGACATATTTCCTACACCATTTATACGGCCATGGAATTATGGGAGCTTGCGAAGCAGTGCAAGCAGCACCTGGGT